GAACATTTGCCAAGCCCGTCATTGCCCGCCAAGCATACGGGCCACCACCCGCCCGGCGAGCGACTCTCGAATCAGACGGTTGGGCTAATTATCTCGGACCAGGTTCTAGCATTTCTTGTTGTCCTGTTCATCTCAACATCAGATCCCAAGACGGGGGACCCCCATGTTTTGCCTTGCGCGCGCGCCTTGCACTCGTCACCCATGTTCCCATCCGGACGTGCTACCTCCTTGCCGAAGCGTTCAGCCTAAACCTGAAGCGACGACTTGAAACGCCGGGGGATCAGGGGCCCCCTGTCGGTAGTTAATGAGATCGCCGACCATCCGCTGCTTGGGGGCGGGCGACAAGAGACAGGCATGCGCCAGACGCGCGAACAGACGCACAAGGAAGGTCACAGACACACCAAGCACCCGAAAAGAGGTGTTTGTGTGGTATTCTGACCACCACGAATTTCACAACACAGACACCCCACGCATGCTAGATTTGAACCTTTTTTTTGTCGGGGAATTAATGAAAATAGGAGGGAAAACACCACCGAGAAGGGCCGAGTCGGCGGCCGGCCAAGAGTCGAAAGAAATACCCACACTCCTGGCGAGAGAGGAAATATCGGCCGATTACCACATTAATTATCACCAACATTACAGACCGATACGGCAACCACCCCGTCCATCCGTGGGGCTTTGCAAAATCGCATCTCGGTGTACCGCGGACATCACAGTGCTTTCTCGCGTGTCGGACGGATTCGTGGACGTTTCCAGACTCCATATTTCCTTCCATGTGTGTGGCTGGGGGAGGGGAGAGGGGATCATGTTTGAGATGAGATATCAACAACGTGGACTCGCTGGGATACCGCCAAGCACAGACAAGGACAGGAACGACCACGGAAAAGGGAACAAGAAACATGACAAAGGTTGACAAAAAAGGCAAAAGGATATGCAGAGATTCTTGGACGAGAAACTGCAAATCAGATCCGCGGATTTGCACGCGGGTGGGTTGGGTCAGTGAGGGGCCCGGCGTGGTGGTGCCCTCCCTGCCTCCTATCCCCTTTTCCTGCCCTCTAATGGGCTGGCTCGGATTCCAATCCCCAAGATGACGGGTTGCGGGTGACGATCAGCCGGAAAGCAGGTACCTGCGCACCTGTCCTCGGCAGCGCAGGAGTGGAGTATGTGAGAGGGGATAGCCGCCTCACCAGACCAAAAAGTCACAGCCAGAGCCGGCAAGATGGCCCACCCAGTCTGTGTTTGATGGGATGGAGTTATGGGGAGTGGTTGAGCATGGGGGGTGGTGTTGCCCAATCTGTAGTGTCGTCGTCTTTGCTGTTGGACTCTTTCCTCCACTACCCGTCCCTGAACTGACTCGAGGGTCCAAGATTGAACACACCACTGGTGTCATCACTTCCTTTATCCCCATTGCGATATGTAGTCTGCCCACCTCTCTTCTGTCCCCGCTTGGCAAAGAGGAAAGGCACCCTTCTCACACACATCCGAACTCGGCTGGCGGGGGTGTGGTTCTGCGGGTCCTGGGCAATCGCAATTTTGAAGGGTCTGAGGAGATGGAGGAAGAAAGAAAGAAAGAAAAGAAAAAACCCCTGTTTTATTTTCCCGTCTGTGGTTGTTTGGGCCAACCCACTTTCATGGGGGTGTGAGGAACCGACAGAACCCTGAGGCTTGGACGAACCAGTCCACGGCAAGTTCCCTTGGGGTTCGGATGGCCGCGTGGGACCGAGCTCGAACCCCGGGGCCGTGGGCACGCGCGCGACGTTGCGTTTGAGGTGAGCGAGTCACGACCCCGGCGACGGCTGCCCGCAGGCGGAGGAGGACCCTCCAATAGCATGCTATTTTTTTTTTATTCTTTTCCTGTTTGATATATCCGGTCCGTACAGGTCCCAGGGATCACAAACCTTAGTACGGTGGATCCTGGTGGTACATCAGTTTGGCTTGGTTTTCCAAGGAAGAAAATGTATCTTGCATCCACCGCACTAGGGTTTGTGATCCCTGGGACCTGTGCGCGAGCTTTTTTGACATATGTCGCTTCGGCTTCATCCACCCGCTCCCGCCCCGCCCATCCCATCCCTCGGGCGTGGCACAGACGAACCGGGAGGGTCGGGCGTGGCAGCCAGACAGAACGGATGCGGTGCGGGGGAAGGGTGTAACATGAAAGAAGAAGAAAAAAACAGAAAGGAAAATGTGCGCTGGTATAGACTGGCCCCTTGCTCACTATAGCGGCACAAACATGGCAGCAGACACGCATACGAGAAACAGTCATCAAAAAAAAAAAAAAATTCCAAACACAAAATGTCGACGCAGGTACCCTTGCCGGGAGGGTCGCTTGTTTTTTCTTCTTTCTTTCTTCATTGCACCCTAGCGAGCCAAAAATAACACAAGAAAAAAAAATCTCTAAAGGGGAGAAAGGAAAAGAGAGGGAAAAGAAAAGTAAAGAAATGAGCAAGGACCAAAGCCCGCACCTCCCATTTCGACCAAAAGGCAGGGCCCGTCGATAATCGACGTGGGGCCACACACCTACCCCCCCGCTGTGGCTGCTGGGATTTGCGCCAGGGGTGTGTTACAGATTCGACCAGGCTTCCCCAATGCCGTGTCCAACCAAAAATGTCACCTAGGCACCCGCGAAAAGCCCACGTCAGCCATGGGGGGGGGCCCTCCCCTCGTTGATGTAACGAGAGGGTGAGCGGGCGTGTGGACCCTTCGCAAACGTCGATCATCAGCCTCTTCGGCGACAAGTGGCAGGCACAACGCTGCTTGCATCCTTTTTTTTTTTTTTTTTTTTTTTGGGGCCTTCTCGTCCCTGTCTCCTGTCTTGGCAGAGAGGCAGGCACGGCGCAACCAGGTACACAAAATTGGCGGGCAAAAGAAGCCATGTCTACCAAAATCCTTCTTTTCTTCCTCTTCTTCCATCCTCCCATGACAGACCCTGCCGCCTGCCTGTCTGCCTGCCGGTCTATCCCAGGGTATTCCCCCAGCCCAGCATGGCAATCCCTAGCTGGGATTGGGGACTTAGTGTGCTGGGCAAGGTGGTGATGCTAGGCTCCCAGACAGGCAGGCTCCCAGGTATGCAGGTAGGTAGTGGCTGGCGGTTTAATTACGGCGAGAAAGAGCCGTGACGAACTGATCGTTTATTACCTTCTCAGATTGCTTCGCAGCCGACAGGATGGTGCAGCCTTCTCGAGATTGCCCCCGAGGCTGAATGGGTGGGGAGAGGAGCGAGCCCTGGGATGGCCCAGCCCAGCAACGAACGGAATACGCCACACACCTCACTTACTAGCCCGCCAGCTAGCCCTGCCTGTCAACCCAGAAGCCAGATGAGCACGCACCACAGGATACACCCATCTCATCCCGTTGAAACGAAACACGAGCGGGACGCCCCACGGGACGAGTGGGTTCTCTTTTTGACTCTTATGTGTGTGTGTGTGTGTGTGCGTGTGTGTGCTATTTTCACTTCTCTGGGCGTTTCTTCGCATCCCATTTTAATCTTGTCCATTTCTGCATGATAATGGAATTGCGGTATGGATCGCCGGGCCCCAGACCTCCTCGCAGCCAATTGGGGAACCGCAATGTCAACAAAGAGAAGACATCGAAACAACACCAAACCCACCTTGCACCCTCTCTTCCCTCTCTCTCTGCCTTTCACTCTATCATATCCTCGCTCCAGATCAAACTTTCCTACTCCGGAAGTCGACGAAATTGCGGCGGGGACTCCTCATCGCCTTCCCGTTCATGCCGTGGGTTTTTGTCATGGGCGGCTTTGTTGGTCGTGGGGTCAGTTCCCACGTCTTTTCCTTTGTGTGCGTGTTTCATCAATGGTGATCTTTTGTTCGTGTTCACCGTCGGCAAATCATTACATGCTCCCCGCCCGCGTTTCGTCTTCCCTCCACATGCAAGCCTATGGCAGCCGACTGAGTCTTCATGACGTTGCTGCTTACCACCCATGCCGCCCTCATATGGGAGGGTTGCTTGGCGTCGACGATGATGATGGACGATGGACCACGGGTGCGTGCATGCATGTGCGGCACACACACACTCTCTCTCTCTCCCACCCTGGTTGAACCCTGGTTTTCTGTTGGTCTTTTCCCATTTCCTGGCTCAGCAAAGGAAAAAAAAAGCCCAGCAATCTTGATCCGCTCCCGCCCCCCGGGCTCGCCGGCGATCCCTCAGTGTTTCGAAACACATCTCATCCCGGAGATGTGGGGGGATAGGCCGATATACTCGTCCCTCCAATTGCCCGGCCTCGCCGAAGACCGCCATCCCACCCTCCTCCTCCTCCTCCCCAGCCGGGACCACCTGACCAACCCTCGCGTATTGGGCCAAGCCGACCACCACCACCCCAGCCGCGCTGTCGCTCAAAGTGACATCCACTCTCGATGAATCCACTCTCATCTATCAGCTCACCACCACTGCTCGGCGGGGCATCCACGCCGCATGCTGGTCGTCTGTCCGTCTGTCTTGTCCAGTCGAGAGTGCCGTCGTTGTTGCCCTTGCTGCATGTCCCCCCCCCCTGAGATCAGCATGGGCGCCATCAAGATTTTTCTCTTTCCTTGGCGTCGACGAAATGCCGCCCACCTTTCCTCCTTGGACTCCGGGGTGGGCTTCCGGCCTTGCTGGTTCGCCTTTCCCACTTGGACCGAAGTGCCAGATCAGAGGTTAGCGTCCTCGCCCCCGGCCGGTGAGGAGGAGTGCCTACTGGCCGGGAGACACTACTCGTTCCCTTTCTTTCTTTTTCTCTTTTTCTCTTTTCCCCTTTTTGTTTCCGCGCTTACCAAACTCTAACTCCCCTTTCCCCTGCTGGGTTTTCTCTCGATATTTCCCTTTTCCCTCACTCCAGAAAAACCCAGACTCACGATGGTGGCGCCCATCTCCCAACGGGGATCCTCCGACTGGGTGTCCCCGGCACTGCTAATCTAGGGTGGCGGGCGTGTGTGTCCGTGTGGGCGTGAAGAGAAGGTGACGGTAGATTCTAGCGCCAAGGGTCCTTTGCCCATCCCTAGCCTCCTAGCCCTTTCATTTCTGCCTGCCGCGCTTTTTTTTTTCACATTACGCCGAGCACACAGACGCCTCCCACCCACCTTTTGTGCACTAAGCCCATTCTTTGTCCCAAAGGGGGTTGGTCACTTCCCCAGCGTGACGTGAGGCGCCGCTGCCGCGTGTAGGTCCTGCGGCTTTTCGATTTATCTCATCCTCTGCCTTGCTCTTGCTTTCTCTTCCCCCCCCTTTTTATTTGGCCGAACAAGGCCGGCCCGAGCCCGCTCAAGCCTATACCGGCTGCTGGGCGGCTTCCTCCCAAGACCACCCTGCTAACTGGTCAGGCCAGGAGAGAGAGGGAGATGGTGAAGTTGGGCACTCGTACGGGATACGGTCAGTCTGGCAGTACACTGTTATGCACGACAGCATACAGAAACAACCGCGAGAGCCAAGATGTTGCCTTCCTGCAAGCTGTCGTGGCCGTGCTTCCCAGATCACGATGGGAGGGGTTGGGCCGCCTGGCCGGTCTCGGCAAAGTGTAGGGGGAGGAGGGTGGGCTACTGCACGCTCCAAACCTGCGTCCTGCTGCTCCTCTCTGCAGGAAGCACATACCATCCCACTTTTCTTGTTGCCCATGATGCTTTTTTTCCCTCTTTCTGGTCCGAAAGAGGAAAGAAGCAGACGGCGGGCCGTGATCTGCACTTGAAAAAGGAAACCGCTGCTTCTTGACAGAACTCCATTAGGGTTAGTTCAACCTCTTGTTTTTTTCTTTGCTTCTTTCCTTTTTGTGTCCGTTCCCCATCTCTTTGCCTCACTCTCCCTCACGAGGCTCACGTCTCGCTGACTGGGCCACTCTCCCCCTCCCCACCTTCCTGCCTCTGATTTCGCCACCCACCTGCCCGTATCCAGCCAACCGAGTCCCATATTGGGCCTAAGGGAGATGCGAGGACGCGGCGGCGACGTCCCCGGCCTTGCCTCAAGGAGACAAGGCCAGTGGACCCCGTGGGAGAGGCACAAAGGTTCGCCAAGGACACGGCGGTGAGTTAGCAAGGGTAGACGGGAGGGCGTGTGCATGTGTACGTGTGCAAAATGCTGTGGTACGTAGCATGGGGCGGGCGTGCGGCCTGACGAGTAACGCGTGACTGGCCTTTTTTCTTTTTTTATTGAGTTCATCCCACCGTCTTCTTTTCTCCTATCCCCTTGCCGTCATGACGAGAGCCCTCCCAACCTTCACTCTTTACTGGATTTGATTTCATGGCTAGCCGGGCAACTGCGGCATCCACTCCACTGGAGTCCCGTTCCCCCCTCTCGCTCCTTGCAGCATGATGGAGCACAACCAGGATCATGTGCCGCCCGAGAAGACTTCGCACCCACCATACCCTTGAGGTATGGATGGGTGAATAACTCCGGCGCCCCCCATAGCCGCCGAGGGAGCGGGATGGGGCCATGGAGCACCTAAGCTCTGGGGATGCTTCTTTGGCAAGTTCTGATAGGTTTGTGCAGAGTTGTGTCAGGGTACCCCCCGCTGGTTCCTCCGCGACTGGTGGCGCCAACATAACCGGCGCCGGGCCGCTGTTGCGGTCGGTGGTGGCTGAGCATAAACCACTTGAAAAGCTTGGAAGGTGCTGGAATCAAACATTTGGCCTCCCGGTTGTGGATAGATATGACACGTATAAGCCAGTGGGGAAATTTCATGTTGAGGTACATAAAGTTTTGTGCTGCTTCCCTCTTACGCAAAAATTGCCTGTTTTTATACTTGTGCATATTTATTATCAGCACAACCGGATAAAAATGCCTGTCGAGTCGTGGGAACCGTGTGGTGGGGTCGGGGTGGTGACCACAATCACTCCGCATAAGCAGAAAAAAAAGGCTCCGGACTGGGACTGCGTGTCGGCCATGTTAACCCAAACATATTATTCCTAAAGTCGATGGTCAAGTCCTCATTTGTGGACAGGGTGAGTATTTGCAACAAGCCCCGTGTTCTCCTGAAACGCGGTGGATATCTTTATAGTCGCGCATTGTGAACCGACGCACCCGACCGTGGAACGGCTTGGGCCCTTGGTTAGGAATGGTTGGCTTTGAAGTACAAGTTAAACCTCCGCATCTTACGCACTGTGTATAAACACTGCATCGTATACCAACTTTGTGTTTATGAGCTGGCTAAGCTCAAATTGAACTGAAACTGGAAAAGACTGCACAAACTTTCGTCCCAGCTTTGCTCTTAGCCTTGCGCCCTTGCTCTGCTTCTGTCCGCTCGAAAACCATGGTCTTCCATTTCATCATTTTATTAAAATAGCACAGCTCCCTCGCTACTACATCACTGGTTACAATAGCCACCCGTAGCATGGACACTCCAACTTTAAGCTATAAATATTTGTTAGCTACATGTTGCAGACTTATCTGCTGCTACACACGAGTTTTTTTTAAAAGAGCTAGCTTAAAATATACTATCCTTTGTAATAGTTTTTAACTATTGTATTTCATTCCTTTTGAACCGGTTTCGCCCGACACTACCTCCTCATTTTATGCCTTTCCTAATCCCTTTCTCCTTAATACAGCGTAATTAAAGAAGGAGAGGTAACAGGTTCTACAGTAATTCATGCACGAGGACGATACAAAGGGACTGGTAATTGCACTTAAAGGTATAACTCCCTAAAAAGCAACGTGCTGACATCCATCTAGTGCCCTTTCAGTCATCTAGTGGTAACAACGTTCAATCGTTTAAAAGATCGGCGGAGGAGCTAGCCATAAAGCTGCCTCGCAGTAGCAATGTAGTTGCCAAGAAATTTAGTAAATGAAGTGCTTCCTTATTGCATGAGATCGCCAACCTGCCATTACTGGCAAATTGACAACCAATTGAGCAGAACCAAAGAGCATAACTTAACAAAAGGCCACCTTAGCAACGGCCTTTTCTACCCTCAATGGGCAAAGAGAAGATAAAGTACAGCAAGGCTCTAGAGCGGCTCTGCTTATTCCGTGAATATTAATAGCGCGACGCGTCCTGATAAGCACAATCGCAACCAACTTCCCCACTACCGTTGATTCCATAACCCTGGAGTGGGTTGTCCTTGACAACCCAGTATATACCTACTAGTATGCTAAAATTCGCCTGCGTATCGATAGTGAATGCGCCGATTTTGGTCAAAATGCGAGAGCAAGTAGTCTCAAATCATTCGAACTCGCTTCTTTGTTTTCTAGCAATTTGGTCAGTGACTCGACTCCTTGTGGAATTCCCTGAAGAAGACTCAGTGCCTTAAACCAAGAGAGGATTATTCTCCCGAGGAAGTATGGGCCGGCCCGTAATCTCAAAGACCATCCGAGACCCAACCCTCGCATAAATGACCGACCCAGTACACACACGAGTAGGATGTCTCAACCAAGGGGTTTGGGTCTGGCACTTGAACATCGTCGATAAAGAGTACCGGTGTGCGCAGTAGGCGCGCAGGTCGATCACCGCGGCCCCTCACGCGCGATATGTTTAGAGGACATGGAGGGCACACTGAGGCGCAAGGCAAACACATGGAAAGACCAGGCCAAAATAACTGCCGTGCCCCTATTCTAACATCCGAAGGAGGTAGCGAGGGGCCGCGTGCAGGCTGTTGCTATACGTGGGGGACTAGAGACCCTTTATTATGAGCGGCCACATCAAGAGTCGAGCTAGCTACCGAGAACTTTTGCATCTATTCTAGAATCTCCTGCCGGCGCAGAACCCAAGTGTTTCCCCCCCACTCCTCCCACCAGGGCCGCACGACAGGACCTCCCGCAGGCTCCTGCGGGAAGCGCGGCTGGGGCTCCCGCCGCCTCTTCTCGTACGTCGACTTCAGCGAGCGGCGCCACTCGTCCTCGTCCCGAGCACTCGGCGAATGCGGCTGCACCGCGACAATCACCAGACGCTCGTCCCCGGCGACCGGCGCGCCCCGGTCGCTGTTCTTGATCGCTCTGACCATATCGTCGCGGCGGCCCATCAGCCACGGGTGCACGGCCGACACAAAGTCGTGGACCGTGACGTTTTTTTTTTTGCGCCCGTCCGACGCGTACACAACGACGGCCGGCTCGTCGAACGCGGGCGGCATGCCCTCCTCCTCGTGTCGGGCCGTCAGCTCCGGCTCCTCCTCCTCGTCGTACCCTTCGCCCACGAACTCGTCCCACAATCTGTCGCGCCAGTCCTGTAGGTTGCTCTCGTGCACCGCGATGGACGCCTGCGGCCAGTCGGCGCACATTGGCTCCCGCGAGATCGGGTGCCAGTCGTCCGGCCCCCCGGAAGTAAGGCTCCCGCGGCGCGTCCGGGTCTTGGTCCTCGGGCATGCCCGTAGTGGCCGACGAGTGGAGCGGGCCGGCTAGCGTCCAGTAGAGGCGCCGCGCCGCGGGGGAGGCCGGCGGCCGGCTGCGCGAGGTTTCGGGCGGGATGCGCGGGCGGGGGACTCCTAACGGGAAGACGTACGGCTGGCCGTAAGCCAGGTCCGTCATGCCCTGCTTCCACACGACGGGCGCGGGCAGCTTTTCGGATGGGGAGCTGGGTGAGGTCATTTGTGGTTGTGATGGAGGCGGGAACAGAACAAAGGTTGGGTGGGCAAAATCCGGTAGAATGTGGATTATGTGTTTTTGATCAGTCGAAGGCGCAGCGAGGGGACGCACCAACGGGCGCTAAATATATGTCCGGAGGTGAGGCATCTGTAGGGGACGAGGGCTGGGATGTACCTACCAACCAAATAATTTTTTTTGGGGCGGCCTTGTGCATTCGCCTGGTTATGTTACTACATGGCGACGCCATCGTCAAGCGATGGTCCGGTGTCGACCCTGCCGTGTTGCGCAATAATGATCGTTTGGCATCAGCTGGCAGTCACCGGATGATTGCAACGCGTCTTCGGATTACACGTGGGCACAATGGGCATATAGAAAGTAACAGTTATAGCATTGCAGTCCCAGCACGGTGGAAACTGCCGCATGGGGCGCGCTGTCTATTCGTGTGCGTGGATGCTCCTTGAGCTCTCTTCCTCGATGGAAAGGATTAAAACATAACAAAGAAGATACTTTTTTTTGTTGTAAATAAATGTGATCCCAGATATCCCGAATGTGCAAAAAAAAAAAAAAAAACCGAGGAGACGCGTTGCCGCAAACAAACTGGTAGATACCTAGCTTTTTAGTAGTTTTCTTTTTCCGGACCGTAACCGCCCAAACCAACGATAAAAGGCAAAATCCGATGTCAGAGCAAAGAGGGAGTTATGCGAATAGAAGAGAAGACAGGCCAGAAAAAAGGTAATGGGGAAGTAAAAGAAGGAAATAAGGAAACGTTCAGTGCGAGTAATTGGACATGCTGCGCTGGAGAATAGGGCGCGAGTCCCAGCGCTCGCCGTCGATGCTCTCCCCATCGGCGTCGGAGACGGCGGTGTCTTCGTCGTCGAGGAAGTCGTCGTCGTAGTCGTCATCTTCTTCCTCCTTATTGTACAGGAAGAATTGGACAAAGATGCCCATGTCGAGCAGCAGGGTGCCAAGACTGCCGGCTAGCCACGAGAGGTTGACGAGGATGTACTGCCAGTAGGCATGGGCAGCCTCGCCCGGGGCGCATCCGGAAGCCGCCGACCCGCGGACGTGACAGGACGGCTCGAAGGCGAAGATGGAGAGGACGTAGGTGAGGTTGCCGAGGCAGGCAAAGAGGAAGAAGAGCATGCTCACGCCCTCGGTGGACTTGCGGCGCCAGTTGAGGAGGATCTGGGGCACGCGGGAACCGAGGTAGAGGACGGCGCACAGCCAGCCGAAGATCTGGCCCCAAAAGCTGAATTCCAGGACGTCGTCGCCAGTGCTGGGGGGAGATGGTGGTTGGGCATCTTCTCCACGGTGACTCGGGCGCGGTCGGCTCATGTACCATCCGGCAACACCGGCGGTGCAAACCATGAGGACGGCGAGCAGGTTGAAGCCGGCCGCCTGGAGCTTGGAGGCGGTGGAGCCGCGGGCCGGTGATCTGGATGCCGGGGTCGGAAGCGCCGTGTCGCGGACGAAGGCGGACTCATCCAACAGCGGCACGACGGGCGAGAGGTGGTGAGAATTGTTGGACCAAGACCCGCGACGGTGCTCAGCCAGGCCGGCATTCCCGGCGCTAGGACGACGGCGGTCCGGCTCGCGAGTCAAAAGACCCGTACGCTCGTTCGGCTCGCCGATTTGATCATTAGTAGCGTGGCCATTGGATGCTGATAGTGACTTGCGCGGCTTGGGCGCCGACGGAACCGCCTCATCACGGAAGGTGAAGCCACGGTAGTAGAAGCACTGGCCCAGGAGGACGATGTCTGCTATGGTGTAGTAGACGGCCAGGATGATCTGCGAGGCTGTTGTCAGTGGCGGGTTGACGAAGCAAGCAGGCGCCGGCTCATTTTTGCCTGGTACTGACCATGGTGGGTAGGACGCCCTGCAGGACGGCACCCAGAATGTTGAAGACATCGCCGGCGAGCCAGATGATGATGAACTGCAGCGACAGGCCGTCGGCGCTGCTGCGACGGAAGTTCTCGACGATCTGGGGCGAGAATACGACGACCCAGCAGGCGATGGATATCGATCCGCAGATACCCGAGATGGCCTCGACGTCGAGGTTTAGGGGTCCGGTGGGAGGCGCCATCGTGTGAGGTGGACCTTTTTTTGGGGGTCGATCGGGCTCACATCTAGAGAGGGACAGAGCCGCGTCTAGCCTCGAGCAGCCGAGGGAGCCGCCTAGTGTTTGCCGTCGTGCTCTGGCCAACGCGGGAGATGCGCGGGGGCGCAATAGAGAAAAAGTGAAGGCGAAAGCGAAAGGAAGGACAAGGGATTACAAAAACGATGATTACAAGAACGAGAGAGACCAACAGGGAATTCGCGCGATGTTGGAGATGGGCGAACTAAGACCCAAAGAGAAAAAAAAATGAACGAGCAGGATTTTTTCGCTCGTGTGTCCTGCTCTTTCAAGCTAGGCACGCGTCCATGTGCAATGTGCAATTTCTGTGGCTTTGCATTCCTGATTGGTTTTTATTCAGCCCGCGCCCCAGAGAAAGAACAGAAGAAATTTATGCCGGATTGAGAAGACGCAACCAGGCAAGCCGACGGCGTGATTTAATGAAGAGGTGCATGGACACATGGACAGACACATGGACACATCCCCTACACAACAGCCCATCCCTGAGATGGACGCGGACACGGGGACCGTTGGGGTAGGCCCCACGTGGCCCTACAAGCCAGAGTGCCAGAGTATTCTTCTCCCCGTTTCAACTCAATTCAAGCTCCGCCCGGCGCTCCATGCAGAGTTTTCCCAGAGCAAAAATAGAGGGCCGCCGTGCTGGATGCGCGGAGAGCCCACAGCCCAGCTGCCCAGGCCGGCTGATGGTGCATTGCATTACTCGGGACAGCCGCCCATTGGGCTTGTGCTGTGCGGGGAACTGGCTGTCAAAAGGGCACATTGACGGGCTTTGGCGAGTCGTGCCACCCGTCGCCTGCGGGGCCGCCCTGACCAGGGCCAGATCCAATCCCGCTCAATCTCGCTCTGCCAAAGCCGCCCTCAAATTTGGCCTCAGCCCAGCATGCGCCCATACAAAATGGACTGCTGGCGCAAAGACCAACTGCACAGACGTTGGCGTCTCAATAGGAAAAAGGGCAAATGGTATACTATACTCGCACGGCCAGGAGACCAAGCAGTCCTATTGAGGCTCGCCCGCGGCGAAGATGATGGTGGAGGAAACCTACCCAAGCCCTATAAAACCCGATAATACCACATCGGGTCAACGCGACCGCCCGGGTTGACGAGATGAGACGCCGCAAGATCAAGGTAGATACCTACCCAAATAGCCAGGTCGATACTTTATTTCTTCTCGACCTGGGCAACGGGCCGACACGGGGGCTTGGGCTTTCCCGACCGACCCACAAACGCCTTGGCCCTCCGACGCCGCCGCCGTCCGGGCACTGGACTGTGAAAGGCCAGCGCAGCCGGGACACCTACCTGGCCTCGGGGGCAAGCATCGTTGGGTCGCGGTTGGGTCTGACCGCTTACAACCCTCGCGTCGGCACCTCTCGCGCCCTGGCCCGTGTCTGGACGCAGTGTTTCTGATGGACATCTAACACCTCCAGTTCCCTCCATCAAAATTCAGGGCCAATGTCAGCAAGCCGCATGGCACGACACCGCCGAAGCTTCCGAACGCGCCCGTGGCCTTCCATTGGACCACACGCTGGATCTGGGCTGGCCTGGCGGGGCGTATTTCCAATCCAGTGGTTCCGCCAGGGGCGAGGATGAGGACGGAATGCGTAAACCCCATCATACATCATCCGCCCTCCATACCTACCTACCTCCTACCTTACTTGCCACCAACAAGCCCCGCAGCCATCGCCGCGTGCGCACACAAAGGCCCCCCCACACATCGATGGATCGGGTCCCCCCCTCCCCCCTTTTTTACTAGACGTGCCGTCGGCGTGACAGGTGTGACAATGTCGCTGCACGTATAAAAGTGCCCCGTCGCTGGCCTGGGGATCCGCTCCGTGTCGCTTTTGGCTGTTTTTTGCTGTGTGGTTTGATTTGCGTCCTTCTTTGCCGTCTCCTTCCCTCCCGCCATCGCCCATCTCTCTTGGCCTGCATAGTCCCCTCTCCACCCGCCCGCCTGCGTTTTTTTTTTTTGTTTTTTGGCTGCGTTTTGACATCATGGGCGAAAACACTCCGACACCGGCCTCCCTGCTGCCAGAGCCCCTCCGCGGCGACGCCTCGATGCTTTCCAAAAAGTTCGGCCCCGAGGTCGTCAACTACTTTGCGGGGAATCCTCTAAACAGGGTGTCCTTCCTGCGCGGCGACCGCGACTTCCTCAGGGCTGCCTTCGCCCACCCCTCGACCGTCTTCCTCCCACTCGACAGCCTAGCCCCGCTGACGACGGCCGACAAGAAGCTCGCCTGGGTAAAGAGGGAGGATGTCGAGTGCGTCACCGGGGCGGCGCCCTTCGGCAAGACCGAGGACGAAATGATCAGAGACTACAACTCGGAGGAGAAGCACCCAATCATCATACTGCTAGGCATGGACGACAAGCAGAGGCTCGTGCCGAGGAGCAGTAGCGCCGAGCTTTTCCAACACAACGAGTACAAGGGCACGCCCTACTTCGCCGTCGACATAACGGCGGACAGGGCGCTGGTGGAAAAACTGCAGGCAAGAGATGGGCTGTTGTTCCACAAAGACCAACGAAGCATAGGATTGGGCCCTGGTGAAGGTGAGAGAAGAGGACGTGCATGCTCCTGGGGTAGTGTTGCGAGCTGTGTTGACACGAGACGTCTCCTCCATCGCTAACAGCCGCCATCTACGGCGCCGCCCGAGCCCTCATGGCGTGGAACGACCGGAACCCCTTTTGCGCGCAGTGCGGCCAGGCGACACTCCCCGTGCACGCGGGCGCCAAGCGCGCGTGCCCACCAACCGACCTGGCGGGCGGCACCCCGACGGACAGGCGGCCCTGCGCGACGCGGGGCGTGGTGTCCAACGTCAGCTTCCCCCGCACGGACCCGACGGTGATCGTGGCCGTGGTGGACAGCGCGGGCCGGCGGGCGCTGCTGGGGCGCAACAAGCGATGGCCGCCGCACTGGTACTCGACCCTCGCCGGCTTCCTCGAGCCGGGCGAGTCCATCGAGGAGGCGGTCCGGCGCGAGGTCTGGGAGGAGAGCGGCGTCACGGTCGGGCGCGTTGTGCTGCACAGCTCGCAGCCCTGGCCGTTCCCCGCCAGCCTCATGATCGGCGCCATCGCGCAGGCGCTGCCGGGCGACGGCGAGCGCATCTTCCTCGGCAACGACCCGGAGCTCGAGGACGCCAAGTGGGTCCCCATCGAGGATGTGAGGAGGGCGCTCGAGTTCGGCGTCAGCAACCTCGGCCAACCGCCGCCCGACGGCTACAAGGAGGGGGGCCTGAGGCTGCCGCCCGACACGGCCATCGCCAACCGGTTATTGACCGCCGTGGTCGAGGGGTACAACGGCACGTTTCCCAAGATCTGAATGTCTTCCTTTCCCGTTTCCCAGTCATGACCTTTCCCCGTTTTTTTCTCCCGGCGTCTGGCATAGGCATAGAGGGATGCATAGGCAGGTACAGGTAGATGGGTAGATATCCTTAGTACATGATTCCCTCTTGATTCTGCGCTTTGCCTGCTCCGTTCCCTGCTCTGCTCAGGTCCATGCCCTCCTGGCAAGCTGGCCAAGTCAATTCTGCCACCGCCAGCCACCGCGCCCCACAAATGGACCCAATCAGACTTAGCGCAGCTCCATTCGGCAATCCACCCTGGCCAGCATAAAACCTCGTCGCGGCCTCTCCAAATTTTGAGCTTCTTTCTTTTCTCTCTTTTTTCTCTTCATCAGTTCCGGGTTACTCTTCACCGTCATGTGGCGAGATAACCCGGGGCTGACCAAAAATGGGGGCTCCGCTACGGCGGCTTGCTGAGGGTTATCCGACACGTCTTTTCTTGTCCGATGGGTTTCCTTCCGTTCCCGGCCTCCTCCATCGAAATGTGGTCACCTCTTCCCTTAAAAACATGCCATGGACTTCGTCACAGGTCCTTGACGGTGGGGTGGTCACGACAAATGCGCCTGGGGCGTGTGCTAGTGGTCTTAGTAGTCTTGTTGGTTACACTCACTGCGTGATCCTCGTTCCGTGGTCCCTTCTCTCGCTCGCCTCATGGACAGAAATTGCGGGATATCTGCTCCCGCGTGTCCGTCGAGCACTCTGGATGTAGAAACGGACGCGCGAAACTGGCAGCTCTGTGCCTAAGCCCAACTACGTCCGAGGAGCGTACTGGCTGATCTCGCGCTGCGACAATATCGTCGGGATTATTATTTGATGGTAATTGGCATCAACATGGAAATGCAGCCCTAGACTGAAACTTGCGAGCTTATATGCTTAGGAGCTAGATACCAACTCATGAACCGCCCACCCAGCCAATTGCAAACCATTTGGCCAAATCGTCGGATATCCTTGCGGTGCTACGTACCTTGGACTGTCGAAATTACAATACGCGAATCACCGCCGGCCGCTTCGAGACCGGAGGGATGTTCGCCTGCTGAGATACGAGGCCGGAGCCTGTCGTCGACATGATGCCTGCCTGGGTGATGCCAATTTTTTTCTGATTCCGTCACGTGATCTAACTGGTCATGGTGGGGGCTCCCAAATTTTCACCGCCCTCCACCGTAGATTTACTGCCGAGCAGGGTTTGAAATTCGCCCACAACCTGGAGCGCAAAACTTGGCTGGTGTTGCGAATCTACTCAAACGACCAAAAAACAGCAGCGACCAGAACTGAACGCAGTATTCCTCACCATTAGAATCACATAGTTGTTCTACTGGAAGACGGTCATCATGTCGAAAATCACCGTCGCCGGAGTGCGTTCCAACGTTGGCGAGCTCCTTGAGTACTCGCTCGAGACCAAGAAGCGGAACTTCCTCGAGACCATCGAGCTGCAGATCGTAAGTCGTCGGTTTTTGTGACTGCCCGGCCTTGCCTGGGGCAACGGAATGGCGCCTTCTAACCGCCGCTTCTCCTCCAACAGGGCCTCAAGAATTATGACCCCCAGCGTGACAAGCGTTTCTCGGGCACCATCAAGCTGCCCGTCGTCCCCCGCCCCAACATGGCCATCTGCATTCTTGGTGACCAGCACGATCTCGACCGCGCCAAGCACGGCGGCATCGACTCCATGTCGGCCGACGACCTGAAGAAGCTCAACAAGAACAAGAAGCTCATCAAGAAGCTGGCCCGCAAGTACGACGCCTTCATCGCCTCAGACTCGCTCATCAAGCAGATCCCCCGTCTGCTCGGTCCCGGTCTGTCCAAGGCCGGCAAGTTCCCCACTCCGGTCTCGCACGCCGACGACCTGAGCGGCAAGGTCACCGAAGTCAAGTCGACCATCAAGTTCCAGCTGAAGAAGGTTCTGTGCATGGGTGTCGCCATCGGCAACGTCGGCATGACCCAGGAGCAGCTCGTCGGCAACATCATGCTGGCCATCAACTACCTCGTCTCGCTGCTGAAGAAGGGCTGGCAGAACGTTGGTAGCCTGACCATCAAGGCTACCATGTCGCCCCCCAAGCGCCTGTACTAAGCAGCCCGACTAGACGTCTTTGTCCTGGACGACGATGACGGGACGAATTGCTCAGGAACCGCTCTGGTGGGAAGATTGATGAATGGATTGGAGGGGAAAAAACGCTGCCACGCGCCGCTCACGCGCATGGACGAGGAGCAGGACGTTCCAGAAGGACAGACACTCCGACGAGCTAGCTATCTCTCAACCAAATCAGACAAAATCATCCCCCGCACTCAAGTCCATCGATCATTTTGCAACATGAGACGTCCTTGACCCTCTCTTCCTCGGGTGTGCGCTAGCCGCAACGTTCTCGCGAGAAGACTTGGAAGCGCAGCGTCGGATCGAGAGCTAACTGTGAGCTGATAGGCGTCAAAGTTCGGTATTGTGTGGCTGTGGTCTTGATATTCATCCGATAGATGTGGCCACTGGTACCCCTCTTGCTGGGTGGGCAGCACTTCTTGAAACATCAAGTTCGGCCCAGTGGGAAGCCGGCGCGCCGTCGAGCTTTTATACAGAGCAAAAACAGCCAACGGCAAGAACCCACGCCTGCTCCTTGGCATGGACAAGGACGAGAAGCCGGGACGACACGACTTGGCGAGCTCCCCCAACTGGAGTGAAACAGCACGTGCGGTCTGGCAGCCCCTATCACCCTCCAAAGACGGGGTCTGTGCGTGCTAGGCCCCCACACCACACATCACACCCCATTCCCTAGGTACCTGCTTGCCTGTTTAGTCCAAGTTTATAACGCCGCCTCCAAAGGGTTCACCAAGATGTGGGTTTGACGCGTCCACTTTTGACGACGTTTTGTGTCGGCACGTCAAGGAACAAACGAAAAACCCGCGAAAACACATTAATGCTATTCTATTATCAATTATGTAATTTTTGTGCTATCCAGGATTTGATTCTTTTCTTTTTTTTCACTCCTGATCTCGCAGAGGCTGAGCTCATCTGTCTCGCTCGCTTGCAAGGTACATACTTGGCGCTCGATTCGAAAATCAGCTCGTCTCCCCTCGAGAAGACAGGCTCTATCGCGTTCGCCTTCAACATCCTAGAAGTCGGGATGGACCAGAAAAAGGAGGCGAGGGCATGGATGGCATCGACGCGCGTGTCCCTTTCTCACTACCCAGCGGGGTTTCCTTTTGTGCTTCACCATTCAAGGTCAGTTCGAGCCATAAAGATTGAGAGGCAGGTCGAGGCCATCTGGAACTTATCTGGGGCCGTCCGAGCGACGCGATTGGCTCCGCGGGGGCTGCTCCAGAAGGTAGACCCCTGTCCACAAAAACCACATGTCTGCGCCTCTGTCCCCCCCACACCAGCTGTGTGATATGGCTTTTTTGCGTTTCTGCGCCATGAACCCATGGCTGCGGCATTTTTGGCTGGGTCCCAGGCTCTCCCCTCCAGGCCCAGGAGAGAGTTGGAGCCGCAGCGCACGTTGACGACGCAACGTCGCCGCACCCGCACGCACACGCACACATCCAACACCCGCTGCGGGCCCCTGTTCCCTTAGCGGGAGCAGTGGGGGTGTCACCGGCTCCCTGCTGGAGATCCGTGAGTTCCATATTGGGTCACCAACCTTGCCGACTCGCTTCCATCTGTCGGATATCACATCGCCATGTACGTATTTTTTTCTTTCTCTATCGTGGAGACCCTCCATCTCCAGACCGGCAGGCACGGATGTTTGCTTGCCCCTTGGCCTTGTCTTGGCCTTGTTTGCGTCAGGTTTTGTCAAGAACTACGGGCGCCACCCCGGCCGTTTCTTTCCTTTTGTTTCGCTCCACAGGCGGGGGATGCGCGATATGGTTCCTATGAATGCGGGAGCCGTCCGTCGAGCCATGTTTTCCTCACAAGAGCACCCCCGCCAGCACTTATACCCCCCTCCCGTTCGCCTGCAGGGTCTGCACACGGGCAAAAGGGAAAGGAAAGAGAAAAAAGGGAGATCGGTCATAAAAGGCTGCGTGCGGCCTGCCCCTTTGACCTCATTAAAGTTTCCCCGTCCTACTCACGCCCATCCGGTCTGTCGCTCGGGAGGCCGAGAGACGTTGGCGCCCTTTCGTCATATCCCATTATTAA